GGGGAATTTAAATGTATGATATTGTGCCACACGATTTGAACGATGCTTTCCGCAGCAACTGCTCCGCTATTCGTTGCTTCCAGGAGGTGGTGAATCTCTGTGGGGGCTGGAGGATGTCGTCGAAGCGTAAAGTGCTGTTGATGGGAAAAAGTGGTTCGGGGAAGACATCGATGCGTTCGATTATTTTCGCAAACTATATTGCTCGAGATACGAATCGCCTGGGGCCAACAATGGAAGTGGAACATGCGCATGTTCGGTCTGTTCCCGAAATTTCACTGATAACTCATTTTTGAGGTTCACAGAGGCTGAGGAAGTATTACTCCAACAGAATCTGATTTTATTCAGGCGTTCTACGTAGCACATGATACCTTGGGGGGGGGAGAGGGAAGGAGGGAGGGGGAGAATATGTACGGAGTCAACAGGTAAACAAACAAAAAATCGGTACAGAGACCCTGCGCGCACACAGACACACACACACACAAACATGCACACACACAAACGCACACACAAACACACACACAAACACACACACAGACACACACACAAACACACACAGACATACGCACAAACACACACACAGACACACACACACACAAACACACACAGACATACACACAAACGCACACACAAACACACACTGCACATACACACACAACCTCTCGTCGATATGCGTTTTTCGCTTGCATAGCTACAAAAAAAACGCATAACAAGTAAACAGCAGAAACGGATCAACAAAGGGCGTTGCAGTGTGTAAAGAGTGAAAAATTTAAAAAAAGCTAATGCTCAGTGAGGGAGAGAGGAGAAGGCCATGATGCTTAGGAATGTGTAAAGCATAAAATTAATTTGCAAAGAAATAGTAGAAATAAAGTGAAATGTTTTGTTGTAACGCATGGAATTCACAAATTTGTATGGATTTTTGCTGTGTTATATGGCTATCACTACTCTCCTCCTTATTTATCGATAAGATACCGTCGTAGTCTTAGAATGGCAATAATGTTCAACACAGACCCCCAAAAATATTTCGAATTGATTGAATTCTTGTCAAAAGTTCCTACAGAGAGAACTGTTAATTCCATCAGGGGGTAAAATGAACCTAAAGATTCGCGAACCAGTGAAGCTAGAAAGCTGAAATCTTAAAGGGGTGTTCCCTGACCACGTACAATTAAGTGATTTTATAATCAGCCCCCAAGTTTGCGTGATTTTGCCAGTGAAAATTTTTTACGGATAAGTTGCTAAGTTGGGAACCTGAAAAGTTAGAAAGCGGAATTTTAAGGGGATGTTTTCTGACAGTCCAGTTACCGAGGTTATAATGGAATTAGAAAAGCTGCTAGTCGTTTAAATGCAGAAGCAGGCCAATGAGGGTGTTGGGAAGCCTGCAAAAGGCTGCCTCAGATAATGGTAGGGTTTTTTCCTGAAGATGTTCGCATAATAGATTTTGCAAATCGTCATTTTTCTGTGTTCCGAAGAACAATGCTAAATACAACATCGAAAAGGTGTAAAAAGCACTGTTCGGTCTGTGTATACAGCTAGGGGATGAAACACAGACTGCGTCATAAAATGTCTTCAAA